TCTTTGTATTTTTTTTGTAGTCTTCAGTGTGTTAATTTCTGCTCTATTCTTTATAATTTAAGAGGACAAATTTTAAAGCAAGGCAAACCCCAGGTCCCCAGATCATTTCCTCCCCCTTTCTTCCAACTTTTTTTAAAATTTAATTTTAGTGAAAGAAAAAAAAAAAAAAAAAAAAAAAAAAACCACAAGATTTTTTCTTTTCTTTTTTTTTTAAACCAGGATCGAACCTCATGATGCAAGCACTTGAGCTGCTGAGCTAAATCCCTGGTCACAAAACTATATTCTTGAAGTTTGTAGTTCATATTTAAAGTCTTGACTAGACATTGTTTCCTGCATGATTTATCCGCTCAGTCATTGCCCAAAGGACTCTGAGAAGCCGTAGGAATATGCTGGCGCAGACACAAGGCCCAGCTCTTCCCCAGCCTTGTGGAAAGGAATTGTACATCACAGGGCAAAGCGCTACTATCCCTATGCCACCTGGACAGAGCCAGGGGAGAGTTACCTTCCAGAGCATCCACATCTTTTTCTAGTGTATCAAATTGCTGCAGTAAGGCTTCTAGGTTTCACTGGTTTTCACAACTTCTCTGTCAATATCTATAATCTACAAATGAACAGTATTCGTTTAACACACTTTCCATTGTGCAGCCAGCTGTTCATAACCCAGCTGTACTTTTTACAGGTGGTTCACAAGTCAAGGTGAGGCAAGAGTTTAGGGGACAGAGGGGATTTATTGAAGAAGATTGCCAAGCCAACACCAGAGTTTAATTCAGCAGGTTCCTGTGGGCTAAGAGTTTGCATTTCTTTTTTTGTTTTTGTTTTTGTTTCTTAAGATAAGACCTTGCTATGTAGATCAGGCTGGCCTCAAACTCACTGAGATCCTTCTGCCTCAGCCTACAAAGTGCTGGGACTGTAGGCAAGTGCCATTGTGCTCAGCTTAAGTTTGCATTTTTAATGCACTGCTAGATGAGTCTGATGCTACTGGTCCAAGCAACATATTTACAATAGCTGATTACGGAGATACTTAAAAGATCCCTCCTTTTCCTCCAAAGAATCATGCTTCATTTTTGTAGTATGCAAATTTTAAAGTTTTCTCTTTAAGTATCAAAATATATGGCATCAAAGGGCCTATATTCCCTGAAGGAAAGAGTAAAACTGGGGTTGAATAATGGTTACTTTATTTTATGACCTTATTTTTTGTTTTCCAGACTAGGTAAGACATTATGAATAAAATTCAAAAAGTAGCTGGGGATATAGCCCAGTGGCATAAGCACCTGCCTGTCAAACACAAGGTCCTAAGTTTGAGTCCCAGCACCTCCCCCAAAGCTGAAAAAGTACTAAAGGATATAAAGTAAAAACTCCCTTCTATCCCAACCCTCGACATGTCAGAAGCAGCCTCCTTCAGATGGGGCAACTGCTTTCTAGAGGTTACCTCTCTGTCAGCTTCCCACCGCCCCATTGATTTCTGCTTTTTTGCTTATCTCAGATATGTGAGTTGCAACCAAGCTCATCTGATAGATCCCCTGCCCACTCCTTTAACCCTGACATACTGCTAGTACTTTTGTTTTTTCCAGTGCTGGGGATTGAACCCAAGGCCCCAGCACTTCTTTAAATTTTATTTTGAGACAGTCTTGTTGTACTGCCCAGGCTGGGTTCAAACTTGCAATCCATCTGCTTCAGCCTCTGGAGTGCTGGGATTACAGGTAGGTGCCACCAGGCCCTGCTCACATGGACCTCTTTGTAAAGCCACTCCTTTTCAGACTAGAAGCTTCCATGTCCACAAAGTTAGACCCTGTATCTCCTTCCCAGAGTCCATTTTCCTGATGCCTAGGATCAAGGCAGACACATAGCTGCTGTGTCAGGTTTGCTGAGTGATTAAGACCTTCGTGGAGAAGGGCTGCACTGCTTCCAGGGTCCTGGCCTGAGGTGTGACTCAGAGAGCGATCATTTAGGGGAAACTGAGTAAACATCCCAGGAGAGTCCTCAGCCCACCCTGTAATCCCTTTCCCAGAACAGAATCAAATGAGTGCTAACAATCTGGAGGCCAGAGAGGCACTGGGTGTCAGCACAGCACTCCCCAGAAATGCGGCAGCCTCTCTCTCGTTCTGGAGACTTGCACCTCTTCCCTTTTCTTTAACTCCTGCATTTCCTGAAGCCCTTAGGGTTTCACCAACTGCCTTCCCAAGACTGGTTACGCTTCCCAAGGCTGTTGTATGTCAACGGCCTTGAAATCACTTGACACTATGAACTTGCTGACCGTAATGGAGGCACGAGAGGAAGTCACCCATGGCCAGAGATGAGGGTGTTACAAAGCACTGAGTAATCTCACCATGTCCCCACGCGCTTCCCACTTCCCCTCTGGGCAGCAGGAGACCTGCTAACCTGTTTCCACATGTTAAGGTTTTGTTTCTTAAAGTTTTTTTGACTGTAACTCATAAAACATACCAAACTAAAGACAACTGTAGGAGATACCATGAAATGGAATAAATGGGGAGTGACTGTTAATAGGTAAGAAGTTTCTTTTTTGGGGTGACTATGTAAGTTGTAAGGTTCTTAGTAATGTCTTCTTTTTCATTACAGATATTAGTAATTTTAGTCCTTTTTTTCCCCCCTTTGGTCAACCAAACTGTTTTTTGACCCAGGTTCTTTTTATATAGTGCTGGCTGGCCTTGAACTCACAATGTAGCCCAAATTGGCCTTGAATTTGCAGTGATCCTTCTGCCTCAGCCTCCCACATGCATCCACTAGGCACAACTTTCAATGTTTCCTCAGATTCCTCTAGCTGCCTTTTTGTCCTGAGATGTTGCCTACTTTCTACTCTACTGGTGCTGACTTTGCACTGGGCTAGATTGGAAAAGGAAGTTAGCACACTAGTCTAATCTGAGTTGTCCCTTTCACCATCCAGAGCTGGACGGAATACCACAGCACTGAGCAGATCTGGCTTCCTGAGCAGGTACCCAAGGACTGCATGACCAAGCCCATGGGCAAACTGCAAGCAATGATTCATGGGTGACGGAAGGAGGTAGGGTTGTGAGTCTGAATAAAGAACACGAGACTGAGTGTGATAATGCACACCTGTAATCCGAGCACTCCAGGAGGCTGAGGAGGTGAAAGGATTGCAAGTTCAAGTTCAGTATAAGCAAGTTGGTGAGACCCTGACTCAAACAGTAAATAAAAAAGCTTTGGGATGATAGCTCAGTGCAAATGCTCTGGGTTCAGTTCTTAGTAACACACACACACACACACACACACACACACACACACACACACGCGCGCGCACACACACACGCACGCACGCACACACACAGAATGTAAGGTAACAAACTACCCATTTGAAAGTACTTAAAATATATTATAATATGCTAAGAATTTCAATAAAGAAACTAAAGGTCAGAACTGCCTTAATCATCATTTCTATTTCTGCAATTATTTTCCAGTGCTGGCGACTGGACACAGGGTCTCCCACTTGTTAGACAAGCACTTTACCACTGGGCTACATTCCTAACTCCCATTTCTGGAATCTTCAACAATCCAAGATTTTCCTCTGTCTTGTGGAAAGCAAAGCTTCTCCTTAGTATAATTAAAATATTTACCCTAACTTCATCAAGAAAGAAAATGATATTTGGGGAAAGTTAAATCTGTAGGATGAGTCTCTAGGACAGTTCCAGAAACTTTAAGAGGTGACCCAAGGTCTTGCCTCTAGCCATCAGGGAGAAAGAAGTAGAACACTTGGACAATGTTAAAGGTATCGCACGCACATCATTGCTACCTCTTTTGTCAAAGAAGAGAGAGGATGGCAGGTACCAGGTTACCTGTAACTATAATTTGTTTCCACATAGAGAACCAGTGGGCCCCCAGGCATGGTAGTGCACACCTATGCAGAGATTGAGGGGGAAGAACTGCTGTGAGTTCAAGGCCAGCCTAGGCTATAGAGTGAGTTCAAAGCAAGTTTGAATTACACAGTGAGATCTTGTCTCAAAAAAACCAAAAAACCAAACAAACAAAAAACCACTGGGTCTCGGCTCAGAAAATACTGCTACAAGGTTCAGGTCCAGACCAGACAGAAGTCATAGCACCAGAGGAACTTTGGAAGACATAGGGCTTTATTACACTAGCAGGCTGAATGGAATCTTAGTTCTAAATCAGCAGCCCTAACTTGAAGCTAACAGTCACTTACGTATGTTTTCAGAAGGAGGTCTGAAGACAGGTAATAGGATCTTTTATAATTGGTTACATAAACTGAGTCATATGCTCTCAGGCAGGCTTATTTTATGTAAGCTAATTGGGGTTACTATTGTATAATTTGGGGGGAACAGGAAGAATCATTCATTGCCTATAACTGAGTTAGTCTGTCCTTAAGAATTTGAAAGCAAGCTCATTCAACAAGATGCACTGTCTGGTTGAGTTACATTTATCTACAAGTTTTAGCTGGCGTGGGGGATGTCAAGGCTTAGTTGAGTTTGTATTTTTTTTTTTTTAATTATGGGAACAGCTTGCACTTCCTAATACCATCCTTGAATAGTATTAGAAATCCAAGTTTTAAAATTTCCTTTACATTCAAAATTGCCTTTACCATATGAATACTAACTGCAACATCTATTACTTTTGTTACCTTGCACACCAGCGTGTGTGTTTACAGAGAATATGAATTTCTAGGCCTCAACCAAGGTTTATTAAATAAAATCTCTAGGGCCAGGGATATAGCTCAGTAGCATCACACCTGCCTGACAAGCACAAGGTCCTGAGTTTGATTTCCCCAACCCCTGGGGATTAAACTCACAATCTTACACTTGCCAGGCAGGCATTTATGCTGCTGAACTAAATCCCCAGCCCCAATTTTTAAAATAATAATTTTAAAAAATAAAATCTCTAGCATGGAATTACATCATCATTACTGATAATATCCTTCACTAAGAATTCTTATTTATAAGATCATAAACTTCATGGTAAAACTCTATCTAGAGTGATTAAAGTCTACAGATACAAAATACACAGTACACACCTTTGTTATGGAATGGAAGCTTTATTCACTCTCAACAGGGCACATCTTGAAGAGTTCTACCAACAATACAGCTGCACTGGACCTAAAAACAGATTTTGGGAGCTAGGGTTTTAACTCAGCGGCATAGGCATCTGCTTTGCAAGTGCCTGATCATAAGTTCGAGCTCCGGTACCAAAACAAAAACAAAAAAACAGATCTTCTCAGCCAGATTTCCCTAGTGACCCAGCGCAGAATAATGGAAGACAATAATTAAACACTCAGTGAGGTTCAAAGAGGAAAATATCTCAACTTTGGTTTCATTTGCCTGAACTACACAAGCAAGACTCAGGTAACAACCAACCAAAATGGTGGCATCCAACATCCTGCATTCTGTATGGTATTTTAAAAGCAATCAGTGTAGCGCATAAAAGACGCCAAAACCTTTTCCCACAGCATTGGAATTCCACTGTTGTTTAAGCATGGAAGCCCTGTGACTTCGTAGAGGGAAGATGCCAGCCTCGCAGTTAAGAGACCCCTGCCTGCAAAGCTGTGTCCAGACCCCACGGAGGGTATGGGATGTGGCCCTGCTCCAGGCTGTGTGGGCTTGTGAGTTGGTGTGTTAAACCTAAAAGCCTCCTGTTGGTCACAGCCAGAGAACTTCACTTCAGATTTTATAATTGAACTCCAAATATTTTAAGTCCAAACAGAACACTCTGGAGGATGCAGCAGTGCATTATTTCATATGTGTTAACATTTCATAATTATTATATAATTTCCATCTTACAATGTGTTTTTGGTTTGTCTGTTTAGTTGTTTTGGTACCAGGAATCAAACTCACCATTTTACCCTTGCTGAGCAGAAACCTACACCTCTGAGCTTAACTCCCACCTCTTACAATGTGTTCTTAATGTCTTCTTACACTAAATTAATGAATTAAATCACAAATATTTAATGTACTTCAATTATAATTTGCACATAGTAATGCACAAGGACTTTGAACACATGACTCTAAATAATACAAAATTCGTTGAATAAAATACTAATGAATTCTAGGCCTTTTGTGACAAGAAACAAAAACTTAATAGTTTTGTGAAAAAAAGTTTTTTTTTTTTTTTTTTTTTTGTTCTTGCTGTGTAGTTCAGGCTGGCCTTGAGTTCACTATGCAGCTCAGGGTGGCCTCAAACTCACAGCTATCTTCCTGCCTCAGCTTCCCAAGTGCTGGGATTACAGGTGTGTGCCAACACACCCAGCCACAAAAAAGTTTCTTATATCAGATTTTTCTCTTAAACTGTTCTTCACGTTTTAGTTGGAGCTTTTTCTAAAGAATCATCTTATAGTTTCAAATATTTTCTTTTTTTTTTGAGACAGAGTCTTGTTATGTAGTTCATGGTGGCCTTGAACTTGCTATATAACCCTGGCTGGCCTCAAACTCAATGATCATGCTGCCTCAACCTCCTGAGTGCTGGGATAATGGGTGTGCCCAACACAAATTTCTTTTTGACACATTATGTGTACTCATACTGGAATCAAATACCTGAAGGAATTGGAATCTTATGAATGCAGCCAGGACAACAGTGGAGAGAGTCATGAACAAAAACATCACAGTCCACACAAAATACATTCTGGCACACAGTGCAAACATAGACCTGCAACAGAAAGAAGAAAAAGGAATCAACCAAGATAGTGTCTAAAAGTTAAGTGAAAAAAATAAATAAAAAATAAACAGTTAAGTGATCACAGCTAGAAGACATTTATGTTGCTTTGCTATTTATATTGCAAGCAAGCTTCCCTATCAACCTTGCATATATATTTTTAAATCTGATGTGATTTATGTCCCCCCCAACTATCCTTAAAAATGGAGAAATGACTCTGATTTGAGTCCTCAAAGTCAATTTATTTATTTATTTATTTTTTATCGGTACCGGGGATTGAACTCATGACCACCTGCTTGCAAGGCAGGTTCTTATGCCGCTGAGCTAAATCCCCAGCCCCCCAAAGTCAATTTATTATAACATATTCTCAGCTACTTCATTTAAGTAACAACATAGAGGAGTCATGTGAGCACAAATCAGTGCTAGGTATGAATGTTTACAGGTGGTCATCAGACAGATCCGATTAAAAACAGAAGCACAAAAATTTGACATGGGTTTAGTTCTTTTTTTAAGAGGCTTTTTTTTTGGCACCAGGAATTGATCTCAAGGTCTCAAACTTGCTAGGCAGGTGCTGCCCTGCTGAGCTATATCTCCAGCCCTGGGTTTAGTTATTTTTAAGAGAACAACCTCACAACTGCAAAAATTATATTCCTCTTTCAACTAAGCCATTAGGCAGTATGTCAACTGACACATAGAGAATAAAAGCTCACAATTCTATCAGCATTGCATATATGGATACCTCTGACTAGAGATAAAACTTACTCACTATATCTTAACACACAAGTAAAGATGATGTTTTGTTTTGCTTTGTTTTAGAGAAGATCTCACTATGTTGTTCAGGCTGGCCTTTGACTCTGGGTGATCCTTCTGCCTCAGCCTTCTAAGTGCTCATATTACAGGAATGAGCCACCACACTCAGCCAGATTATGTTCTTAGAAACTAATAAACAAGGGCTAGGGATATGGCTAGGCAACACAGTACCCGCCTGGCAAGCATGAGTTTCATTCCCAGTACAAAAAACAAAAAAAACTGTAAAACAATTGAAAAAGTGATTTTAGTGAGGATAAACTAGAGATGTCAAAGAGAAATGTTCTAGAGATTGAACCTTGGATCATACACATTAAGTAGGCTTTCTACACTGAGCTATATCCCTGGTCTCAAGGAATGTAAAATTTAATAAAATTATTTTATGAAACATTCAAGTGGAATAAACAAGCAATTTTTGTTTTGTTTTGTGGGGTGCTGGTGACTGAACCCAGGATCTTAAAATACATACTGAGCATGAGCTTTACCACTGAGCTACACTGCTAGCCTCAAACAAGTAATACTGCTAATTAACACTTGATAGACTTTTTATCTGTGGCCACCTTAAATGATAACTTCCAAAGGAGTCACAATGGGGCCAGGGCTGTAGCTCAGTAGTAGAGTGCTTGCCTAGCGTGAGTTAGGCCCTGGTTCTACCCCTAGTAACAAAAGCAAAATACAACACTTTAAATAAACAAAAGCAGTTAGCTTAAAAACAGAAGCAAAGCACTAAGTGTCTTCATACCAAAATCAAAATGCAGAAGTACAAAACTACTATTTAGATGATTTTTCCCCCATTTTATGTCTACTAATTAGTATATAACTATTTATAGAAAATAAGCTGATGTAAGCCTGGTCTTCAACAACCTTCAGAAAACTTATTATAGTATTATTTTCTTATGCATAGCTTATTATTAGAAAGTCAAGACTCACATGTTGGTCCTTCAGTTGCCCCTGACATCCATAACAAAATCTGAAAAAGAAAGTTTGAGAATCATTTTTTAAAAAAGAATTCACTAGTTAAAATGATGTAACCAAGTTGGAGTAACTAGAATTCCTTACTAATTACTTCTATACCAAACTTTGGCAGAAAGAGTTAAGAATGCCAACAGTTTCTTAAAATTCTACAGTATGTTAGCCAGCTCAAGACAGCCCAAAATGTAGTTTTTGTTTTCATTAAGGTTAAATATGCATATACTTTCTAATTGGGGTTCTGGAAGAGAATTAAGCTCTACAGAAAATGATTTACTATTTTTCAACTCTCCTATACCTAGCAGATACAATCCTAGATGAACAGAAGACATGTTAACTTCTTACACAGAATGGGGGCCTAATGGTTTTATTTTCTTTCTTTTCAAATTTTTGTTTGTTTTCTGGCTGGTTTTTGAGATAGGGTGTCTCCAGGTAGTTAGGGTGGCCTTAAACTTGCGGCAACCTTCCTTCCTCAGTCTCCTAAGTGCTGGGATTACAGGTGTGCACCCTCAAGGCTGGCAGTCTCACTTTCAAGGAGCAGTATAAAGACCTGGGACTCGGGGTGCAGTGCAGTGCACGCCGATTATATATGAGGCCCCTGGCTTGATTCTACCCCAGAACTCTCAAAAAAACAAAGTTCTCTGTTTATTACCGAAAACAGCAATTCCCTGCCTCCTCCCCATTTCATTCCCAGCTCCCAGAGGCACTTTCAAAACTTTTAACCTTGTGCCAAGTGGGGTGGTGCATGCCTATAATCCCAACACTGAGGCCGGAGGACTGCCGTGAGTTTGGGCCAGTGAGTTTAAGGTCAGCCTGAGTTATAGAGTGGTACCCTGTCTCAAAAATCCAAAAACATGGAATTAAAAAAAACTAAACTAAACTTGTAACTGTGATATTTACTTATGCTTATATAACTGCTAACTCCTGCTCTGTGAATACTGGCTCTGAGCCTCCAGCCATTGAAGATGAGAACTTAATTCCTTCAGCCTTCTTGGACTAACAGTGCATACATGTAAACTAATGTTATGCTCATCCATCTCTGTAAGTCTTTTTTTTTTTTGAGACAGGGTCTCACTCTAGCTCAGGCTGGCCTTGAACTCACAGCAGTTCTCTTGCTGCATTACAGGCATGCACTACCATACCTGGCTGAACTATAATATTTTCAGTCTGATATATATATATATATATATATATATATATATATATATATATATAAAATATTTCAGTCTGAACACTGAAATTCTCTGTTAGCATTCAATATTGTTGATGAGAAGCCGAGCAATTTTAATCCCAGATCCTTGACATGTGACCTAATTTTTCTCCTCTGAAAATGTTTAAAGTTCGTATTTCACTACATATTTGGAAATTATACAGCTATGTACTTTAGTGTGGGTCTGGTTTTTTTTCAATAAACTAACCACTTGACAGTCCTTTTTGACCAAGAAAATACTATTCTTCAATAGTAGAAGGAATAGTTTGTACAATAGTTTAAGGAAGTAAAAAACTTCCTTAAACTATTTATTTGATGATCTCCTATTCTATATTTTCTCTTTTCTTTGTTTCTCACATATTCCTATACTGGACATTCTTGAAAAATCTACCAGTTTGGATTTTTTTGGTTTTTTACCTTTATTGGGTTCTTCATTTTATGCCATGTATTCTACTTCCTGGAATATTTCTTCAGCTCTATCTTTAAATCTGTCTACCTCAGTCATAAGTAAATAAATAAATGCAAGTTAAAACAATATGATTTTTTAAAAGTTGGCCAATATAAAAAAATTTCATAATCCTAATACTGTTCAAGTTTAAGCAAACAACAAATGAAACCTCCTTAAAGGATATCTTTACAGCATATATTAAATCACTTTTTTTTTCCTATTTGAGGCAGGGTCTCATTATGTAGACCAGGCTGCTCTGGAGCTTACTAGGTAGCCCAAGCTGGCCTCTAACTCATGGTGATCCTCCTGCCTCAGCCTTCCAAGTGCTGGGATTATACAGGTTTTTACCACCATGGCTGCCTTAAAATTCACATAACTTTTGATTCAACAATTCCACCTCTAAGAATTTGTCATGCATTTATACATATACAAAGTTAAAGTTATTAACATTATTTGATAATACCAACTGATTGGGGCTGGGGATTTAGCTCAGTGGCACAAGCTCCTGCCTTGCAAGCATGTGGTCCCTGGTACCGATTTAAAAAAAAAAAAAAAAAAGAACTGATTATATAAAACATGGTAATATCTACATACACAATTTTGAAAAATAATCCTCTGTGTGAAACAGTTTCCAAATGATTTTTCCGTTCTTGTTTTTTGGGTCAGGACTTTCTATTTAACCCAGACTGGCCTAGATGGAACTCAAGATCCTTGTGCCTCAGTCTCTTAATTGCTAGGATTATGGCATGAACTAGCATACCTGGCTTCAGTACATCACTCTCACTACGAAGAGGTGAAAGTAAGGAAATCAACAAGTTCTGGAGACACAGATGTGTTTAATAATGAGTTATTTCATTCATAAACAAGGATCCTCCCTGATTGAACCCAGGAGTATTCTACCACAAATCACATCCCCAAGCCCTTTTTTCCCTTTTGTTAAATTTTGAGACAGGATCTAAGTTGGTCAGGCTTTCCTTGAACTTGCAAACCACCTGTCTCAGCAGTCTCTACAACTATGTTACAGGTACGCACCACTATGTCCAGCTGTGTCTCATTTTCTATATCAGAAGTAATCTTACTCAAGTTAATAACTATTTTTTAAAAGGCAGTGACAATCTACTCAAACATTAGCTCGCCATTATGAAGAGATATAAATAAATCAAAACTCATACCTTTCCCCTTTATATTCTTCTAGGGGAATTTCTTGAAAAGCATCCAAGGGAAATAAATGATGATACGACCGCGCCAAGTGGGGAGCTGAGACCAAAGTAAGACCTAACATACAAACAGAAGCATGTTTAATAAGCCACATCTCATAGAGACAACAGCTAAGAAGCCAAATCTGTAACTCAGCCTACATAGTTGCAAGTGTTTTTAGTGGAGTTTTGTTTTTTGCAGCGCTGGAGGCTGAAGCCAGGCCATGCTGCAGGCTTGCCAGCCCTTCCACTGCTAAACTCCTTCCCTGGAGAGTGAGTGGCATCTGTTGCTGCTCGGTTCTCAGTTTCCTTGGACCACAGGCGTGTCCAGGGGTGAGTAAGCTCTGTCACTACACATATTACCTCTCTGGGCCTATTTGCTTACTTGTAAATGAAATAGACTTTATACATTATGTTTATTCTTAGAAATGTAGTACTGGACATTCAATTTAAAAAGTAATCTATTTCTCTTTGCAAAAAGTAAAGCCACACCAGGCCTGATGACACACACCTGTAATTCAACACTCTAGGAGGCTCAGCCAAAAACTTTGCAAGTTTTGAGCCCAGCCTGGGCAACTTAGACGTTGTCTCACAACTATAAAAAGGGCTGGGGATGCAGCTCAGAGCAGAGAGTGGGTACTGGGATCAAACCTCAGTACCACACACACACACACACACACACATAAATACATACATACATATACACGTAAATACCCAGAAACCTAGGTGGAATTCAACATTTACATTTTTTTAACATTTATTTTTACCAATATGATAGATAATAAATTATTTGAAATTAATTTACTAAATAATGAATAACAGGTTCTTACCACATATTTTACATTCAACAGGAAGCTCACAGTACTTTGCCCGACACTGTGGGCAGAAATAGCCTCCTAATGTAAGTCCTGGTTCAGAACTGCTATCCAGGTGCCTGCGGGGAAAAAAATTACTTTAAAGATGATGTATATAAAGATGTAAAAAAAAAAATTTAAAAATTGAAAACTGAAGAAAATATGTTGCACTCCTGTAATCCCAGCACTTGGGAGGCTGAGGCAGGCAATGGTTGCATGTTTGAGACCAGCCTGGTCCTCAAAGTGAGCCCAAGACCAGCCTGAACTGCATAGTGAGACCCCCTATCTCAAATAAGACAAAAAAAAAAAAAAAAAAAGAAGAAGAAAAAGAAAATATGTTACCTTGACTTTAAACTCTGGATTTCAAAAATTTTAAAATATTTGAATTTATTTGAATTTGAAAATATGTGTGTCATTTAAGTGACAACATACCTCCCTCTTCCTCTTTTTTAAAAAATGTTTATTGATACAGGGTCTTGCCCAGCCTGGCCTTGAACTCTTTGATCTTCCTGCCTCAGCCTCCCCACTAGGATTACAGGCATGTGCCACCACACTTGGCTGTGTGACATATTTCCTCTAGAACAGTAAATGTAGTCCTTTTTATACCTTTAATAGAAGAAGGCAGAAGTCTTGCCTGTGACTTGGAAAAAATCACTTTCTTTTTGTTTTTTAAATTATATAAAATATTAAGTGCTGAAGTTCAAACAAAGTATACTTAGTATAAGTCCAGGTTCTATCACTTTGCCTTTCCTTAAACGCCAACACACTCTTTAGTTTTCACTCCCTATATCCATTACTATTGTTTTTATTCTGAGCACAACTGAATCATCTCACATCACTTCCTTCTTTTTAGATAGATGGTAGCAAATTACACACCTTCTCTCTTCCTTCTACTGACATTTCCTGAAGATCTCACTGCAGAAATATAGTGTATATAGTCATTCCTTTTTATGGCTATCTAAAAGGTTTTTTTTTTTTTTTTTGAGACAGGGTCTCACTGTAATTCAGGCTGGCCTTGAATTCACAGTGATCTTCCTGCCTCAGCCTCTAGAGTGCTAAATTTACACATGTGTACCATCACACCCAGATCAAAAGGTAATTTTTAATTACAAGCCACATTTCAAGCCCATCTTTTAATTTATAACTTAGAGCAATGAATTTTAAGTGCTAAAATATTACTGGTCTTTACTTACGCCATGCTGAAAGAAGGTTTTGCATCTTGATCAGACAAAGCAGCAATGGTATGCTGAGGAAATCCTTCACAGAAAAGATAAAGTATTAATTTCTCTTACCAAGCAAAAAGCACAATGCTAGGGGTAGGAACCTAAAAATGTTTCTATCAGAGAACCAACAAAGTTGTACAAAGGTTGTTTTCAAAAAAACAGTTGTTTTTCCATCTCTTAGGAGATATATGTGTATGCTTATTATTCTATCTGAGACTAACTGTAAACCTGCGCTACTGTAAAGAAAAAATAGAGGAATAAGGGAAAGATAGGTCTACACATGACCTCAGATTCTGAAGTTCTTATCTATATTTTCTTTTTTTTTTTTTTTTTTGGTACTGGAGATAGAACTCAAAACTTCATACTTGCCAGGCAGGCAGTTGTGCCACTGAGCTAAACCTCCAGTCGCCTCTATTTTCTTTTTGAGGGTTTTCTTTATGCTTTGTTTTTTCCAAGGCAAGGTCTCTTGCTTTGTAGAGAGGGCAGGTCATGAACTTGTAGTGATCCTCTTGCCTCAGCCCCAAGTGCTGGGATTATAGGTGTGTACCACCATATGCAGCATATCTGTATCTTCTAATTTAATAACAACACTGTCTTTTGGGGGGTGTGTGTGTGTTGTGCTAAGAACTGAACCCAGGGCCTTCACACTAAGCTACAACCTCATCCCTTTTTATAAATTTTGTAACAGGGTCTTGCTAAGTCATTAAGCTGCCTCAGGCTGGTCTCCAATATGCAATTCACCTGCCTTAGGCTTCCAGAGTGTTGGCATTACCTAAGTCAGTGTGTGACATAAAACATGGCCCCAAAAAAATCCAACTCAAATTTTAAAGTAACTTAAGTAAATGAAAACAGAAAGCCTCATATAAATAAAAATATGTATTTTTAAAATAACAAAATAAACACATACCCATACGAATAAGTGAGCATTCAGAACTTGAGCTAGCAGGAGGAGGACTAACATGATGCGTTAGCAATTCTTTGTAGTGGCTTTCATCTAAAATCACATGGTACGTGCCTAACAAGAAACAAACAACAGCTTTACACATGTAAGAACACATTACAATTTCTATATAGTCCTGTAAAAGCTTTAACATCTACAAATGTACATCTTCAAAATTAAGATTTTAGTTAAATTGTCATTTTTAAGAACTTTATCTCTAAATTGGTATCTCTAAGAACAGTAATTACAATTTGATTAAAAGCCATATTATGAAATCTTTAGAAAGTATTACACACAGTAAAATTTCTAGCCTTTCAAGGGTTATGCTTTCTCTAAACACAAACATTACTGAAATTTCCTTCCCCTTTGAGGTGATTTCTCAACGCAAAATATATTTAAGATGACTTCATATGCTAGACTATGGATATGAAATAATTTAGATTCAGTGGCTTACGACAGTCTAGCTTAGTCAGTGAATCCTTACATGATGATTATGAATAGAGAGTGAACACAGTAGACACACACCTCCAGTTTCCCGAGCAAGTGCAGTGCAAACCCGAACCTCTGCCGACAGCCCAATGACGGACACTCTGATTTTAGCTGCTTTCAGGGTCTTCGTCAAATCCAAGAAAAAGAAGAATTAAGAAGAAAAGTATTTAATTAAGAATTAATGTACTTGAAAAATAATGCTCTGGACACAGTACAGAATTCTCTTTAGTGTTTTAACTTTGGGTTTTTTTGTTTTTTGGGGGCCCCAGGGATTAAATCTAGGGTCTCTCCACTAAGCCACATTCGCAGCGCCCTTTTAAAAGTTTTATTTTTTATAGCATTTTAAAAATCATTTTATCAGTACATGAATACAGTGCAAAATGTTTGTACTTTTTAGGTAGTGTACTTGTACATAAGACATTTTAATTTTTTTTTTCATCCCCTTTCACTTTCCCTTTCCTTTTTTTTTTTTTTTTTTTGAGACAAGAGTCTCATTGTACAGTTTAGGTTGGGTTTAAACTCACTATGTAGCCCAGGCTAGCCTTAAACTCAAGGTAATCCTCCTGCCTCAACCTCCAGAGTGCTGGGATTATGGGCTTATGCCACCATGCCTGCCAAAAAAATTGTGAGACAGTGTCTCACTAAATCAATAGGTTGCCCAGGCTGAGCTTGACTTGCAATCCTCCTGCCTCAGTCTCCCAGAATGCTGGGATTAGAGGTATGTGCCACAGACTCTGCTATAGCTTCACTTTTGATGCACCGGTCCTACCTTAATCAGATCATATATATTCGATGGATCACAAGTTGTAAGACTGCTAAAGATGATGAGGACTTCTCTGCTTGTGTGTCCAGGCATGTGTCTAAAGAAGAGATAAAATATACTCTCATTAAGTTATAGCAAATGTATCTATAAGGAACAATATACATGGTTTATACATTCAGACTATAGAATATCTCATTTGTCTCAACATTGCTGGGAAATGAATTGAGAATGTTTTAAATACTTCAATGTACAGTTTTTTTTCTCTTTTTCAGTGCTGAAGACAGAGTTCAGGCCTCGTGCATGACAGGCAAGTGCTCCTTATGTTCATTTTTCAAAAAATGAGCTATAAAGCCAGGTGTGTTGGTGCACACCTGTCATCTCAGCACTTGGAAGGCTGAGGCAAGAGGACTGCTGTGAATTCGAGGCCAGTCTGGGCTACAAAGTGAGCCCAAGGCCAGCCTGAACTGCATAGAGAGACCCTGTCTCAAAAAGACTAAAAGAGGGGCTGAGGATTTAGCTCCATGGCATAAGTGCCTGCCTTGCAAGTGCAAGGTCATAAGTTTGATCCCCAGTACAAAAAAACAGAAAAAAAAGAGCTATGTATTTTTTACATAATTATTCATGGAAATACACAGAAAGTTCTCTCAAATTCTAGGGAAAGAATGATAAATGATACTGACTGAGCCCCTGACATTATGAAGCTTATAGTTCAATAGGCTTCTTTCATATGAAGTTGAACGTGTACAGTGAGAAACAGGACTATACAGTAGGGTCAGCTTTAAGGTATGCACGTGTGGTTTAACAACAGTAACAATTAAATGATGACCCAATGAGGGGTGAAGCTGTGTGAGCTCTTTCTATGCTAGAAAGGGATTTCTGTCATTTTTGGAGCAAGTTTACTAGTTCATTATTATCCTCTCCACTAACATTTGTAGATAACAGTGAAAAGCTTGCTTTTATGATTTTTGTTATGTACTTATCTATCTCAAAAGTAAAAGTTTTCTTTGGGGTTTGCTACAACCCACAAAGCTGGACTTGCAGGACCCGTGTACTATTAATTTATAGATATACTATCAAACAGGTTAATAAATGTCAGTGAAGATACAACCAACTCATTATACTACACTACATGCCACTTGTGATCCTTAAACCTTTGGCAGCTCTGTACTGAGAAATAAAACCAGGCCCTTCACACTGAGCTATATCCTCAGCCCCACCTCCCACTCTCTTTCTATGAGACAGGATCCTTGCTAAGCTGCCCAGCCTGGGCTCAAATTTGCAATCCTCCTGCCTCAGCCTCTCAGGGTGCTGCTGGAAGTATACATACGCACTGCAACACACAGCTAGTTCTCCTACTTACCCACTTTGTTATAACTGGCTTTATGGAAACTTCAGTTAACATATTCTCATTTCAATTAATTTATTAAAAACTTCTAAACCAACTTTCAGTAAGAAATGTAAAATACTAACTTTAGAGTCTGCATGGCCATGCTTAAGGAATTATAAAGAGATGGTTCTCCATGACAGGTCATATCAATAGCTTTCTTCAAAGATGTTATGTGTTTCCTTGGGTTTCCTTAAATTAAATGGAACAATTTGCTTTTATAAAATGCCATTAAAAAATACCATACATACAATATGAACATGTTGGGCAACCCATTTGGGACCTTGCTTGTTTCTATTCCCCCCACCCATTTTCCCAATAAATTTTTCTATGCTTAATTTGTAAAAAAAAAAAAAAAAAAAAAAAAAAAAAACTGAGCCAATTTTGTGTCAAGGTCTCACTGTCTCACTATGTAGTCTTGACCTTTCTGTGCAATCCAAGCTGGTCTTGATCTCAAGATCCTCCTGCCTAAGCCTCCCGAGCAGCTATGATTATAGACATGCCCACCGTATCTGGCTCCAAAGGATTTTTAATCTTCATACATATGACCTCAGTGGCACACAAAATTGCTCTACATTTGGGGTGGAAAAGTCAAGACAGGAGGGGGCAGCTCCTGCCACCATCATGTAATCATCCTATTTGGCCCATACTGTGCTGAGCCAGCAGCCATCCTGCCTCCATTCTATTCGGGGCGCAGGAATACAACCCCAAACTCCTCACTGTCCTGTGGTACTGGTGGCTCATGGGTAGGCAGATGGTAAAACCAAAGTCCCTCTGCACCTGGGTGTAGCTGGACAAGGGCCATGTAGGCATAAGGCTGCTGTCAGAGACCTTTTCATCTCACAGGAAACTGACCAAAGGCTGAAGCCAGACAAGGCCTGATGCTTAGAAACAACTACCCCATGTGTCAGCACCGAACACAGAGGGCACAGCGGTAGGTCGTTGTGAGCTGCTGAAAGCTAGTTATGGCCCCACCTCTAGTGCTAGAGACCAAACCAAACTGGGGCCTTCCAGAGCCACACTTCCAACCAAGACTGTTATATTTTCTTGCAACTGAGTTTCTTGGATCAATCCATATAAATAAACCTCTTATTCCTTACAGTCATAGTGAAAAATTATTCATAAACACAGCGTGTCACTTCACTTATGCATTGCAAAGATGGAGAAATCGATTTAAGGTAGAGCTATTTTACAAAAAGTAAAATGGAATTAAGTGATGTCAGTTTGTAGCAGGATATATAGGTAAGAAAATAAAAACAGCCACTATCATCTTTTATGAGGTAAAATTCAGTTATGTGAGGTAAAATTCATGTTATGCGAATAGAAAAGTGGACTCAGTAACAATAGCTATAATTCAGGCCAGGGATTTAGGTCAGTGGCAAGGTGCCTGCCTGGCAGGTGCAAGGTTCTGAGTTCAATCCCCAGTCCAAAAAAAAAAAGCTGCAATTCAGCTTTTATATATGTGCTCATTAAATTCAATGTTTAACTTTTTGAAAACTCAAGTTGAAGATTAAGTGGATTTTATGAATGGCTTCAATAAGATTATTTTAATATTTTCAGAAAATATTAAAGACTGTACATATCTTAAAGAAACAGATTCACATTCACAGTAATACTATTCACCACTGTGCAGAACTCAGTTTAAAACAGTTAATCTTAAATTTCAAGAGTTTAATGGAAAACAGGCATTACTAAGTTATTTCACCTAAAAAGCATACAGGAAGGCTTCATTTTACTGACGAAACACCCTTAAGAACAGGGTTACATATCTGGGTAATTAAGACAAAGTGCCTGTGTCCTGGAAAGGTAATATAACGCATACCTGAGAGTTCAGTCAGTTTTTCAGCTCTTTTACTCTTAGTTACAATTATTCCAATCTCAAAACAAAACAAAAAAGATCATTAATTTCACATGACAAATTACTTCCTCTTGATAAAATTTATGTAAAATAAATTAGTATGCCTACAAAGAAATAAGCAACACATGAGAAACTTTTCCTTGTATTTTAAACAAATAAATTTAGCTGAGTTTACCACCTACTGTTAAACTTTTATGCTTTTTGCTAAATGTACCCAAAAAGAATATATAATCTAGATCACTTAGCAAATGATACAATGTATATCCGATTTTTTAAAAAACAAATTACAGTATATTTGGCAGCAAAATAGTTATGCAAGTCTGAATTCTATCATTTACCTACATACCTGACTGATAGGATTTTGATCAAAATACTCTTCTACAAAGTACTCCAACAACTGTTTAAAGAGAACAAAAAGAAATATTACACAAGGGCAAAAAACAACCATACATACAAGTACAATTATGCTTTAATAAACCTGTTTATCAAGGATCCCTTCTGATATTCTTTTTTCTTTTTCTTTTTGGGCTGCTAGGGATGGAACCCAGGGCTCTGCACAAGCTAGGGATTGTACCATTAAGCTACAATCCCAGGCCAAATGTCATTATTAAGTTATTTCACCTAAAAAGCATACAGGAAGGCTTCATTCCTTCAAACTCCCATAAGATATTTAAACTTACAGATTTTCAAGAAAATGTTTAGTTGCAAAAATATTAAATAGTAAAAACTATATTTGAAATAGTAGGTGATAAAACAATAATGACCCAGATTCTTTTAGATTTGATTTTGCTTTATGGTATTGAAGACTGAATCCAAGACCTTGCTACCAACAACATCCCATACCCTTTTTATTTACTTTTGAGACAGGGTCTTGCTAAATCACTGAGTTGACCAGGCTGGGCTCAAACTTGTGCCTCCTGCTTCAGCCTCCAGCTGGGATTATAGGCATTTCCCACCATGCCCAACTTGAATGAATTAGAAGCAAGCACAATGGCAAGCACCTTCCAATTCCAGCGGCTTAGCAAATTGAGGCAGGGGCTGGGGATATAGCTCAGCAACACAGCACCTGTGTGTGGCAAGTGCAAGGTCATAAGTCCAATTCCCAGTACCCGAAAAAAAAAGTAGAAGAAGAAAGAAAAAGGGCTGGGGATTTAGCTTAGTGTGGTACAGCAGCTGCTTGGTAAATATGAGGTCCTAAATTTGATTCTCAGTACAATAAAGAACAACAAAACAAAAACAAAAATTTGAGACAGGGGCCCTCTTATGTGGCCAGAAGTTCAATGCCAGCCAAGGTCCCCAACTCAAAGAGAAAAACAAAACAAAAATAATGGAAAGAAGGAAAGACCCACTGAGGACAGGGAAGGGAGAACAGGAAGATGGAGGACGGGGCTTCGTGAGTTAGGACGACTATGGATATGTCTGAGAAGACAGTGAACCGAGAATGAAGATTCAGTGAAGGAAAGGGACAAGTGACAAAACAAGACCCTGACTTGGGACAGAAAGGGGGAAATCAGACTTACATAGTTAGCAGGTGAGATTTATTATTTCCTTGTACTATTTCCTTGTAGCATATCCCTTAGCTGTCACTTAGATCAACTAGAAAAATATTTTCCTGCACTTTTTTCCAGAATCCACTGTCCCTCCTGCATTTGGGACACATGTAAATGACTTTTAAGTGATCTTTCTGTACCTTTAATGTACATGTCAGTCTATTAGGCTTTAAATCTTGGTCCTCCATTGTCCGCGATCCATCTATCACCACATAAAGGTGGCGCATCTACCAAAAAGGAAGGGAATAATCTCCGGTCACATCTTTCACCAAGAAGTAAAACCGCATTCAATATTCACATGTTCTGAACATAGCTTTTAATATACTCTTTTAAAAAGTTTGTTGCTTTATTGTTGTTCATTCTGTAGAGCCAGAATGTTTCTGTAATCCAAACTAGTTCTGTACCAGTAAAAGAAAAAAGATAACATACCATTCCAAGTCGAACTTGTCCATGGTGTTCAAATACTCTGTTAAAATTATACAAGCATTTTAATGGAATATCATATGCTATCCAAAAAGTCAATACAACTTGCTAAATAATATGCATTTTTTTAGTGAAGTCAATTATTAACTTTTGGGATACACATAATTATAGACATTGTAGATAATTCCAGAAACCCATTTCCCTACTGAGATAAGGTATGATAGTACCAGTTCTTTCTGCCTATTCAGACAACTAACAGTCATTTTCTCTGAAACACAAAAGGAAATGAAATGCTAAGATAGTTACAGGTGGGCAAAAAGGTTCAGGGACACAATTTCCTTTCATGACAAACTTAGGAAGAATTTACCGACCTTTTTCTCTTTGCCTTGAAAAGAATGTCTTCTATTGTAGCTTTAAGTGAGCCAGATTCATCTTCTTTAAGAATTTCCCTGTAAGTAATAACGGTTTAAAATATAAGCTAAAAATAACCCAAGAAATAAAGAGGTGGATATTTGTACATGTGTGTTCACAGTATGATTCTATGTAATTGTGAAAACTGTAAACAACCTAAATGTCCATCAGCTGCTGAACTGATAAAACAAAAATGTGTCATAATAATATAAAGAAAAAAAGAAAAGTATTAAAAAAAAAAAAACATGCTTGGTGTGGTGGCACATGCTTATAATCCGAGCTACTTGGGAGGCTGCTGCAGGAGGATCAGAAGTTCAAGGCCAGCCTGAGCAACCTACACGTTAACTCAAAATAAAAAAATGAAAAGTGCAGTGAATATAGCTCAATGGTAAAGCATCCCCAGATATAATCCCCAGTACTCATCCCCATCATTTCACAGGGAACCAATTCAGCTACTTAAGAGACTGCGGCAGAAAGACTGTTGTGAGCTCAAGATCAGCCTGACAACACAGTAAGATCCCATTTCAAAGAAAAGGGAAAAAAAGAAACAAAGCACTAACATACTCTACAACATAGAAGAGCCTTGAAGCAGTATATTAAGTGAATGCCAGATACAACACACCACTTTTTTTTTGGTACCAGGGATCGAACTCACAACCTAGCGCTTGCCAGACAGGCACTTAGGCTGCTGAGCTAAATCCCCAGCCCAACGCACCACATATTATATAATTATGGGAAATAGAAAGGGAAAATCTATAATAAACAACATAAATTATTGGGTGTCTACAGGCAGTGAAAATGGAATTAAATGTAAGTAGCCATTAATTAAGTAATCATCTTAAAACTGGTTTATAGGAGGAAAAAAAGACTGATTTATGGTGCCACATGCTTGTAATCCCAGTTCTCAGGAGGCTGAGGCAGGACTGTGAGTTCGAGATCAGCCTGGGCTACAAAGTGAGCTCAAGGTCAGCCTGAACTACATAGTGAAACCCTGTCTCAAAAAGACAATGGCTTATGATAGGAAATTTTCTGGCCTATGAGAGTAAATTTTCTAAAAACAATCACTGAACTACACACTGGAAGTGGGCGATTTTTAACACATATAAAGTAATTTCAATAAAGATGTAAGTAAAGGGATAATATCTAAAAGAAAAAAGAGGCCTTAATGCCATACTTACCAAGTTCTCTCATAGCCTCCTTCCCATCGCTTAGTTCTTTCTGGTTCTTCATCCATATTTTAAAAAGTGTGTATTATTCAGCACTCTGTAAAAGCCATAAGACTATGAATGTTCTAAACATGTCTGTACAAAATGCATCCACTTACTTAAAAGTTAAATGTGGGGTGGGGCATGGTGGCACACACCTGGAAACCCAGCACTCAGGAATCTGAGGCAGGAGGACTGCAATGAGTTCAAGGCCAGTCTGAACTACAAAGACAGAGCATGTCTCAAAAACCCAAAAATGGGCTGGGGATACAGCTCAGTGGCATAAGTACCTGCCTGGCAGGGGCAAGGTCATGAGTTCAACCCCCAATACCAAAACCAACCAACCAAAAAAACCACTGATGGGTATGGCAGTGCATACTGTATTACAAACTGCTCTGGAGGATGAGGTAGAAGGCTTTCAAGCTCAAGGCCAGAATGGGCAATTAAGCAAAACTGTCTCAAAATAAAATTCAAAAGAAGAGCTGTGGCTATAGCTCAAAAGCACTTGCCTAACATGCAAAAGGCCCTGGATTTAACCCCTAGAACCAGAAGAAAAATAAGAATGTAAGCACATCTTTTTTTTTTTTTTTTTTTTTTTTTTTTTGTCTTTTTCTTTTTTATTGGTACCAGGGATTAAACTCACGATCACACACTTGCAAGGCAGGCACATATGCCGCTGAGCTAAATCCCCAGCCCTAAATGTAAGTACATCTTATTCTTTGTAGTTTACTCAATCATTTCTGGTAGGGCCAGAGATATAGCTCACTGGCACAGCCCTTGCTTGGGCAAGTACGGGGTCATGAGTTTTTTGTTTTGTTTTTCTGTCCTGTCTTTTTTTGAGACAGGGTCTCGCTATTTGGTTCAGGCTGTTTGGGCTCACTTTATAGTCCAGGCTCGTCTTGAACTTTTAACAATTCATCTCCCTCAGTCTCCTGAGTGCTGGGATTACAGGAGTGTGCCACCACACCCAGCAAAGTCATGAATTTGATCCCTAGCACCAAAAAAAGAGAAAAAACAAATTGTGAATATTTATGAACAAACATGAATATTTATGAACAAACATGATTCCAATACAAATAAACACCTTTTTACAATATTAAAGAACAAAAATGCTTTATGGACATCACAAAACAAGAACACAGAATTATGGGAGTCATACAGGTGTAGCTAAAATATTATCCACAAGTGACAGTTACCACAATTGATAAGTATCTGATGATTATGTTCTCTCTCCACCTTTGTGTAGGCTGGAATTTTTTGTTTTGAGGCAGGGTCCCATTATGTAGCCCAGGCTGGCCTTAAATTCATGCTGATCCTTCTGCCTTGGCCTCCCAAGTGCTAGGATTACAGGTGTGTGCTACCTCACCTGGCTGTAGGTTTGAATTTTATTATCAAGTTTTTAAGAATGAAACATCATTTATAAATGGCTAAATGCTTAAATATCATAAGTCAAAAGAATAAAAATAAATAGCCAGGTGTGGTGGTGTATACCTGTAATCCCAGCGGCTGAGGCAGGAAGATCACCACAAATTTGAGGCCAATCTGGGCTATATAGAGAGTCCAAAGTCAGTCTGAACTACATAAAAAACAAACCAAACCAAGAAACCAAAAAACAAAAATACCAAAATTGGTGGTAGAAAGAGCCCATGAACCAAGTAATACACATCTCTAGCACACCCAAACTCCACCCTCCCCAGGGGTGTCTCCTGGCCCAACCCAAGATGAGAGTCATATACCCTGGCCCTGGCATGGATAAACACAACTTTTTAGTCAGGATGAACTGTTTTCCACACGCTACTCTGCCTTCTTAGGTCTCTACTTGCTAGATAACATGGCAATAAGGAGGAGTGCCTGACCACTGTACTCTCACTATATGTATATGAGGTTAGATTCCAGAGTTGGATTGCAGCCTAGGGGCCTTTGACTAAGAGGAAAAAACAGAAGAAAACACCTATCCCTTGGCAAAGTCTTCCTTACCTTTTAAATTCCATACAATTGTAAATGGAGAATGTACTGAAACTGTTCAGTATGACAAATATATTTAGTATATTTGACAGTCTAGACTGACTAGATTTTCATTTCAAGAATGTCAACAGGAAGTTGACCAAGGACTAAGTGTGGTTTCAGAATTCAAGGATAAGTTTACAGAAATTTGCCAAAAATATGGAGTTGTTAAGGAAAATACTGTGACTGACCAATGTTTGCATGTGTGTTGGGACAGTCTCACTACATAGTTCAGGCTGGCCTTGAGTTCACCATGTACTCGAGGCTGACCTCAAACTTGTGGCAATCCTCCTGCCTCAGTCCCCCCAGTGCTTGGACTCCAGGGGTGCACTACTACACTTGGCTTTTGGCACTGACCTATGTTGATCGCTGTCTCCAGCCCTGAGCTGGAGGAGTGGCTGATCCTAAATTGAGTGAATACATCCCCACCTGGACTCATCCTTCTTCGCCTGTGTCTCAACTGACTATGACTCTCACATGTAAGGGTGTTATCCCTGCTCCTCGAGAATCTTTCCTAATTGCCCAGGAAGACTTATCAATTCATCAAGAATAAAAGATTTTCTCTAAGTGCCCCTGTCTGCCTACCTAAGGTAATTGTATATCAATAAGATCTACCTCTACCTGCTCGGTAATGATTAGCTTTGAAATAAATATATACAGAGAAAATCTGCCCAAAAAAAGGTACACACATTTTAGAAAAACTTGTATCAGTATTTTAATACTTTATCTGTGGAGGACCCTAAAGGATGTCCTGTATCACAGGACACTAACTGCTATACTAACCCACTACACTGCTGGCCCTTAAAGAAATTGAAAATGCATGGGCAGCAGTCTTAGCGACCAAGGTGACCCATGCAGCAGTTCAATGTACTAATAAATGTCAGAAAACTAGTAAGCACCACTTTGAATACTTGTAATTGTAGAGACCAAAGGTAACGTATTAATCTTATGATGCCTCAATAAATTAACTATTAATAAAATATTCAACCAAGTGGGGTTTTTTTTGTAGACTTGTTTTATTTGTTTTGTTTTGCTTTATTTTTCATAAAAGGTCCTGCTATGTTTCCCAGTCTGGTCTCAAACTCCTGCCATCAAATAATTCTCCTGCCTCAGCCTCCAAAGCATCTGGGGCCATAGGTAGTTAGCACCAGGTGCAGCTTTTGGAACACTTTTTTTTTTTTTTTAAAGAATCTGCCTCTTAGAGCTGGGCGCCGTGGCACACTTCTGTAATCCCAGCACTTGAAAAGCTTAAAGTAGGCAGATGGTTGCAAATCTGAGACCAGCCTGGGCTGTAGCACTTTGTAAACACTTTGTAAAGTGTTTCCAAGGCTAGCTTGAACCTCAGCAAGGGTTCTTTTTGTTGTTGCTTTGCCTTTTGTCTTTTTGAGACAAGGTCTCACTATGCAGTTCAGGCTAGTCTCCAGCTCCCTTTGTAGCCCAGGTTGGTCTGGAACTTGCAATGATCCTCCTGCTTCTGCCTCCAGAACGCTGGGATTAAGATGTGTGCGCCACCACAGCTAACTTAGAAGTGTTTCTCTTCCTTACATGTGTACACGTATTTTTAGCAGACTCTGTATATATAGATAAGGATCATAACCGATATTTTACGCCCCATTTGTATCATGCTTTTATAGAAAATACTTTAAAGAGGCGACCTATAAATGCACTTGTGTAATTAAAATCCACTGGTAAGTTGGAGACTACTGCTAAGGTATCACTTTTTTGTGACACCTTATAATCAGATGTTATTAGCTAAAATTCCGAACAGTTTCCACTGAATTAACAAACCACACACTGTCTTTGTAAGAAATTAATTTCTTTCAGGAAATTTGGTGATCTGCTGTAACAACCTGAAAAACTAGAAATGACAATAATTTTAACACCTGTGCTATTCCGCACATGGTAGCAGAGTATACAGTGACTAAACACTGTCCTATTTTCAGTATTTATCCTGCACATCAAAAAAAAAACAAAAACAAAAAGGACACGTAGGGTTCAGTTATTTTGTTGGACGAGATCGAAAGGGTATCTGCAAAGAAACGTGAGCTGCAACCAGCACCGCCCTCGGGAAGGCATTTGCTGATGAAACAGTCAAGTTAGCCCTGGGCCTGCCCGCCAAGTGCGAACTCAGGGCTCCGAGGTGGGCAACTCAACCGCTGCCACAGAGCCAGCCCAGAAGAGGGCTCGCACCCCGACCACCATTCCAGTCCTCGCGCTGGGCCTCAGGCGGAACCACGTCCGCGTTCGCGGCCCTGCGCGTCCTTCGCCACCTTCCGTGCTCTCTGCCACAGTCCTTCCCTACTGGGCCAGCCAGGCCAAGTCGGCCGGGTCCTCCGCCCGACAGCCTCCCAGGCGTCTCGTCCAACCTCCCGCCCGCCGGGCCAGGGCACACCCCAGCTGCACCAGCGGACTCACCGGCCCGACGCGAACGACTCTCCGCCGGAAGCGCCGCCCGCCTAGAAGCGCGCCGCTGAAGCTCTTCCGCAGAGCGCTGCAGCCTGGCAGAAACGTTCCGGCTGCCGCGGACAGCAGCTGCCAGAGCAGGGTGCAGGCAGGGGAGAGGCGGGCCGTGCAGCGGTAGCGCGCTCCGCTGGGGCCGGTTTGAGGAGACTGATTTGATTTCTAAAAGATTTCAACGAAAGAGGCTGACTGCGCCTGTTCAGCTCACAGGATTTATTAAGCTCCGACTTTGCGCTTGAAACCTCTGGCGCCACTGAGGAAACCAATGAAATCTGACCAGAAAAACACTTTGGACTTGGAATTTCGCGTTAAGGACAGTGATCCAGAAAAGCGCACTGTGCCCTCTGTGCACTGTAAGAATGGTGCTGCTGAGAGAAATTAAGATTGGAGAAGGAAAGGGTTGCAGTTCAAAGTAAAGGTGGTCAGAGGAAGTCTTCAGGACAACAGGTGAGCCATAGTCCAGTGAAGGAAAATGTTCACCAACACTGCTACCTGGGGAAAGAGCTGTGGAGACAGAGGGGCTGGGGGTGCAAAGGCCCTGAGGCAGAAGCACCACAGTGTGGATAGGGGGACTCCAAGATGAGCATGTATCAGCTGAAAGCAGTGTGAGGTGGTTTTACTCTAAATCTTGTGAATAGGGTGGCTGTGTATTATGAAAGAAGAACCAGAGGTTTTAGCTGCGCAGATTTAAGGGTGTAGTGCACCTTTGAGGTTGGTGGGGGCATCACATCAGTTTACTTTGGGCAAGCTGATATGCCTACTAACACGGTGGAGTTACTAACATTTCCAGGCTTGGGAAGTGGAGAGGCAGGGAAGTTCCAGAGTCTCTGCAAAGGTTAGGACCAGGACAGATAGTAAAAAGGAGCTCCATAAACTGGGATTTCTTCCCCATCGGCATATTTACCCGTCGCTTATTTTGTTTTGTTGGTACCAAACTCTTCCCCATTTGCATCAGGCGTCAATCAAAAATATTGCCAAAAAAAAAAAAAAGTTGCCAAAAGGTTTCTTACACTGTACTGTAAATAAAAGAGCTGGATTTAAAACAAGGTCTAGCCCAGCATGATAGCACATGTTTATAATCTCCACACTTTAGGAGGCCGAGGCAGGCCTGCAAGATCAAACTCATCCAAAGCAACTGAGATTCTGACTTCAAATAAAAAATAAAAGGCCTAACACCGTAAAAACACAAGTACATTAGATCAGGCTCTGATGCCATCTGTGGGCTTCAAGCAGTCACAGCCTAAACCAGGGAGGCCATCTGTAAAACAGAGGGCTCCACCTACACAGGGCTTGGTGGCAGCAAGAGGGAAATGGAGAGATACTAGCACTGCTGCTTGTTTCTTTGTGCCCGGAGCCTTGTAGCCTGGCCTCCCTCATACCTTTCACCCTTCTCCAGGACACACAACTTACACTTTTCCTTTCTCTTTTTCTCTTACCTACCCACTTCTCTCTCATTCTTTCCCCTTTTCTTTTCTTCCTTGTACTGTAATCAGCCATCCTAGTCCCAGGAAGGGGGCGTGGCCATGCAGCAAAGAACTGTAACTCCAAACCCTGTTTGTTAGCCACCACTCTGGGAAGACTTTTTTTTTTTTTTTTTTTTTTTCCAAAAACCATGAAAAGGTCAGAAGATTCTCCCAACAAATATGAAGCATCTTTGTGAAAGACTGACACATTAAGAATTTTCCCAACTGTAACCTGCATAAAGGAAGGGTTAGTAGAGGAGAGCAAAGCATGTGTAAATCCATGGGAATCTCCCGGAGTAATTACAGCTAATATTCTAATCATATCCAAAGTGGTAGAATAAAGGAACTATCCAATTTAGCCAAATGCTTTTCTCCACTTGTAAAACTAAGGAACTACAATAAAGAATGAATCTATTCTTTGCCATGGCTAGTGTCTTGGTTACTTTTTATCTTGTTGAGACCAAAATATCTAACGCCCAATGTGAAGGGGGAAAAAAAGTTTATTTCTTAGTTTTTGGAGGTTTCAGTCCATACTCAGCTGGGTCCAAGGCAGGGTGGCATGGCACTGGGGCAACACTTCAAGGCAGCAGCCAGAACAAAAAGGAAGAAAACAAGCCTTTTCTCCTGGTTTATATTGTACACAGGCCACGCCCGCACCCAGGGTGGGTGTAGCACTCAGGAAATCTCCCTGCCCTCCTTTGCTCAGGATGAGGATATTTACAAAGTAAGGACCCTGCCTCCCTGCTGAGTCTCTCACACTTCTAAACTGCTCAAATTGACACAATGTATTAACCATAAGGACATAATCCAGAATGTGGAAATTCATCAGCAGCTCAGCCAGTGCAATCTAAGTAAATATACAGTGGATGTGACCTGAAAGACCAGCAGAGATACACTTTCTTTTCCTTTTTTTGAGACAAGGTCTCACTGTGTAGTTTAGGCTGGCCTTGAACTCATTCTTGTAGCCCCAGCTGGCCTCAACCTCACACAGTTCTTCTCCCTTTTCCTCCTGAAGTGCTAGAAAGTAACTCAGATCCACAGTTTGCTATAGCAGTTTAAAATTTTTTTTTTAAATGTTATTTACTTTGTGGTACTGGAGACTGAACTCAGAGCTGTTACACTGAGCTACATACCCAGCCTTTTTTTTTTTTTTTTAAGTTTTAGTCTGGGGATGATAAAATAAATTGCTCAAACTGGGATAAAATTTGGGATCCTCCTGCTTCAGGCTTTCAGAGTTGGGAGTAGAAGCACATATACCACTCAGTTCATGGTCTTCACTTGTAAATTCTATTTGTTCTATCCCTAGAGGCATTTGTTCACCACCTAGAAATAGTCACATGCCAAGCCTAGTGTTTACCTATATAGCATTAAGAGGATTTAAAGCTGCACCCAGCAAAGACTAAGCTATGGGATAGGAATATACATACTCCCCCCCCGCCCCCCCCCCCCCCCCCGCACTTCAGTGGTACTGGGGATTGAACCCAGGTCCTCTGCACTGAGCCACATCTCTAACCAATGTTTTTTTGAGACAGGGTCTTGCTAAATTGCCTGAACTGGGCTTGAATTTGCAATTCTTTGCCTCAGCCTCCCAAGTGCTGGGATTACTGGGATGCACTACACACTTGACTAAACATACACTTTTTTTGAGACTGGGTGCTGCTATGTAGTGTAGGGTACCAACACAGTCAGCTAAACATAGACATTTAAAAGCACAATTTGTTTTTGTTTTTGGTACCAGGGATCAAACTCATGACCTAGCACTTGTGAGGCAGGCTAAATCTCTTGCTTTAAAAACACAGTTTGTTAAAAACTGTTAGTTTCAATTGGGTGTGGTGATGCATGCCTGTAATCCCTGTGGTCAGAAGGCTGTGGCACTCCTGCCACGTGGCACCCCAATTTTGAGGCCATCCTGGAATATATGGTAGGTTCCACTCCAATTTGGACTATATAGCAATACTGGTCTCAAAAACAAAACAGTAGAGCTTATTAATTTCACTCTTTGGAAGACTAACTGGACATACTATGTTTGGACAAAGATTGTTCATACATTCCCTTCACACTGAGATCACTGCATTTATCACACCTTCACAGTAAAATACTGTGAAGGTTTACAAACAACAGAAAATTGAGGTTCAGGAGGAGCTGGGGATTTAGATCAGGGCATAAGCAGGAGCTTGTTTTTATGTATATCTCCTACCTGTTCTTCTGGTAACTTAGAGCGAGTTCTGTTTTACATGATGCCACTTGCAGCAGTTGTAGACAGCTGTCATGATCACACATAAATGTCCTGATCATTTCACTGAGGGAATTAAAATATTATAAGTCGGATTAGTGGCATCCAAGCTGTTTAGGAGTTAGAGGTTAAAATCAAAAAGTTTGAGGCCAGTCTCAGCAATGTAGCCAGAGCCTGTCTCAAAATGAACAAATTAAGCTGGAGCCAGCTGCGGTGGCACACACCTGTAATCCCAGCCCTCGGGAAAGCTGAGGCAGAAGGATCCCTACTTCAAACCCACCCTAGGCAATTTGGGAAGACCCTGTCTCCAAATACAACAGTGCTAAGAGTGTAGCCCCCTTTGAAGGCCCAAGGTGAAGTCCCCAGCACTGCAGAAAAATGAAACGGAGTGATGGTGTAGGCATGAAGAAGGGAAGTGCAAAGGCACTCCTGGATTTGATCTGCGCTGCCAAAAAGTCTGGGGAGTCATTTTCAGGTCAAAATAGAATGTACAACCTAGCTGCTATTAACTCAAATTGTTCTGCTGTCTGAAATAATTAGGAAATATTCTGCTGCTTGCTTTTTCAAGATCTTTTTTTATAGAATTCTCATATATAATATATTGTTTTATTTTAACCTAACAGAATTAAAACATGCTTCAGAAAGTAAGCTTCTAAAACTACAAACTGAGAATAAAAAACCTGAGAAAGGAGCTGGACAGTATGGAAAATTCAGACAAGATAAAGCCCATGCAACAAAGCCTACAGACAGAGATGGAGCTTGCTACAGTTACTCAACATGTGTTCCAGGTAACATTTGTATAAATCAGGAAAGGAGGGATAAAGACCTTTTAAAAACACCACTGATATGAAGACCTTACCACGGTTTATGTTAGGCTGTGGTCATAAGCTAATTCAGTACAAGGACTGAGTACGTAGCCGCACTGGAGAGCACTTGCCTAGCATTGGTGAAGCCCCGAATTCAGTCCCAGCATTGCAAAAATCATAATTGTCTACTGATATTTGCTGTACTCACATATGTAATGTTCATGTACAGTCAGCACATTTTTCATCGTGGTTAACATTAGGATTTAGAACTGGCATGTTTTCTACAGCTCTGGAGGCAGGTTGGAGTACAGCTTTAGCCTCCAAGTTTGAGGGCGGAGTGGACCTGGGTGAGAGTGGCAGCTAAGAAGGTGACTGCTGCCACTGGGAATTTAGCTCAAGTGGGTGCTCAAGGACATGGGGTTGGTCCAAACCCCATCACAAAGAGAGAAATATCAGCATGATGTCTGGTCCAAGTAAACTCTAGTAAATGTTGCCATGAGATTTTTCCCCTGAGACATTAATGGAAAGAGAGAAAGAAAGAAAGAAAGAAAGAAAGAAAGAAAGAAAGAAAGAAAGAAAGAAAGAAAGAAAGGAAAGAAAGGAAAAAGAAAGAAAGAAAGCTGACTGAGCTGACTATGGAGGCCCATGTTTGTCCACACAAAGGGCTGGGGATGCAGCTCAGTGTGATGGCCATGGGTTCAACCCCTGGGCCTAGGGATGGAAGAAGCAAAAACTGTCTGTGGAAATTGATGAGATATTTGCAAACATCATAAACATACCTTCACCCCTGCTGAAGCCTCTTGTAAGTAGAAATGAAGACAAAAGTGTATCACACACTGGGAATACAGGCAAGTGTCACAGCACCTGCCTGACTAGCATGAGGTCCTGAGTTGAATTCTTGGGACAGAAGAAATAATTGTCTATCCCTCTTTTCTGTGAATACAGAGCTACTGTACTTTTCTAGTAAATGTTTAAAACATTAGATAAGGTTAGTGAAGGGATTATTTAACAAAAATCTTGTTAAAATTTTGAAGTGCTTACATTTCAAAGTTGTTATATTTTGACTTGTTTTTTGTTTTTATTTTAAACTATAGAACGTCATTTTGGGGTGTAAAGTCAACTGGGCAGCAGATCCAGCACTCAAGGAAACTGTTCTGCAGCTTGAAAAGGCTCTCACCGCAATCTAACAAGAATTCCACTGGGCCAGGTGTTGCCATGTGTGCCTTTGATCTCAGCACTCAGGAGGCTGAAACAAGAGGATTGCCACATGCTGAAGACCAGCAAAGATTTGCACCTTGCAGTTTTTGGAATTTTGTCTCTGTATGTCATTTAAATAGCAAGTTTCAAGTGACATGAATTTGCGATGTTTGGGGAACTCTCCTAATCTGTAATTGCTTTTTAGCTTCAGTTAACACTCTAACCTAGAATCGGTCATTTTAAATAACACTAAAGTGACTGTGTACTCTTAAAAGGGGAATGTCTTAGTCATAGAAAAGACACCTGGCCTGATATCTGAGGAGCAGGCGCAGTTTTGGACATTCACAAGGTCCCAGCATTTGATTGTAATACTTGTGTGCATTTCTGCATTTGTCAGTCAGGATGCAGAGAAGTCTCCATTGTGTCAGCAGCTGGTATAATTTGTAGTAGGGTTATGAGTAACTGTCTTCTGTTCTCTCTGTGTCTGTTTCTCCCCTCACACATACTTCTGAGCACACACATACATAATGCTGGCTACACCCTAGCAATGCTGATGTACAGTGACATCCGTGCCCATTTTCAGTTCTGTTTGGACACAAACACTTGCCAACTTACCAAGGCTGGCTTCAGACTTGCAACCCTCCTGAACAACTGGGATTAAAGCATGTACTGCCATGTCCAGTACAGCTCTTTATTAATTAGGAGCTATTGATCATATTAATGGACAGTGTGATGTTTTCAGTATTCTTACTGGAATAAAGTGAAACTTGAAAAGATGCGCTCATTGGATAATACCTCATGAAATCTGTTCTTTAGATTAATAACAAAGAGAGATTTCCCTAAGCTCAAATAGTAGGCTTTTCTTTGAAATATTTATACCTTGCTTTCTTTCATCAGTCATACTGTATGCATAGATTTATTCTTTCTGTCAGTTATTGTTTTGAGGTAGAGTCTCACTGTGTCCTTCAGGGCATTATTGAACTCACTATGTAGCCCAGGCTGTCCTAGAACTTCCTGCAGTCCTCCTGCCTCAGCCTCCTGAGTAGTAAGGTTACAGGCATGCACCACCACACCTGACCTGTTGTTATCTATATCAATTGTTATAAAGTAACTTACGTTTTGCGTGCAAATTATTATTTTGGAAAATGCTTTTCCATTCCAGTAATCCACACAGGAACTGTTTGTTTGTTGTAGTACTGGGCAGTGAACCCAGGGCTATTGTGCTAAGCTCTCTTGAGCCCTATATTTGTTTTTTAATCTGTTATTTTGAGATAGGATCTCATCAAGGTGCTGAGTTGCCCAGGCTGTGCTGAAACTTGATCCTCCTGCCTCAGCCCCCTAGAAAACTGGCATTCTAGCAGTGCACTACCACAGTCACTTGACACTGTATTAGTAAATTTCAACCTGTGGACCACCTGAAAAAGTGTATCTTCATATACTAAAACAGGTATATGTTTATCTGGGACCTTCGTGGTCTTTGACTTGCCTGTTACCCAGCTCTGAGAGAGGAAGTGGGTAGGCTTTGCCTGAACTGTTGCTGAATACGGACCTCACAGCTCACTGTTTTATAACGTTTACTTCTGTGTGGGTTTGGGGTTCAGCCGCCCACTCTAGGACTCCATTTGAGGAAGCAGCCACTCAGCAGAAGGCAGGGGCTCCTTAGATCAAGTCAAATGCATTCCACAAGCAGAATGTAATCTTCTGCTTGGGAAAGGCAGCCATGGCACCAACCCCACATCACAGAGGCCTTGGGTTTTCTCCCAGCTAGGGAATGCTGCATTTCAGAGTCAGGAAAAGGAAATGGGAATTTACTACAAAGGACATGATCTACCTTAGTCAGCTTTGCTCCATGAAATAGACATCCAAGAATAGGGAGGTGCCGGCAGTCCTAGTGACTTGGGAGGCTGGGGCAGAACTGCTTCAGCCATGAAGATCAATCCAGCCTGGGATACACTTGAGACCTAATGTCTGGCTTATAACCACATCCACAAAAAACACTCCTCCAGGAAGTAAGCCAACAGCACAGCTTCTCCTGGTGTTATTTCAAGCTTTAAGAGCTCTCTCTCTCTCTTGCTCTCATTCTTGCTCTTTGTCTCTCTCTCTCTCTCTATCTCTCTCTCCCTCCCTAATCCTGTTGCAGGGGGTCTCCAGCCTGGGCAACTCTATGTAACTGGCCTAGAACTCACAGGGATCCTCATGCCTCCGCCTCCCAAGTGCTGGAGTTACAGGTGTGCTTCACCACACTCAGATTGTCTTGTTCTTCAGTTGTTCTTCTCATCAGTATCAGGTACTGACAACCTGGCTCACAGGCTGTTTTAGTATATGAAGTTTTACCACCACGAGGCCGTGCCACTATGTTCACATGTTAACTGTGCTTGCTTTCTTGCTATGATAAAATAGTGTAATCGAATGAAGTAGCTTAATGGTGACCCTAAGGCGGCTGCACTGCGCTTTTCCATAGGATGAGGTGTTGTGAAAGACAGGTTCCCGAGCCCTGGGAGCTGGCTTCTGTTTGAGGGATGGCAAAGAAATACCAGCATGGCCCTCTCTCAAGGGCTCAGGGGCTTTGCATGGGATTTGAAGAGGGGATTGTCTCTACCTTGAGTCAGGGTGGCTTTGTGAACTGTGACTGTCATGCCCTTGGGCCCACGTGTGTTTATCTGTTCCTCGTACTGTCATGTGGACCTTGGTGGTACCAGGTGGTGGCAGTTCTGCCTCCCTCATTTTTGCCTTGACAAGGGCCCAGGCATCCTGGGGCTGGACCTAGTAATCCTCAGGTTTTCCCTCACAATGTATTGAAAAATCTAGTTATGCTGTAGAATGTTTATTCTGAATTACCCAAATACTTCTTAATTGTTTATGCGATTTATTTTACTACTGAGTTACTGTACCCTACATGTTAGATCCAAGTATTTTATTAAAATATTTTTTATCAAGAAACCTCAGGGTGGACTACGTACCTCCTGTTCCATCACCCACTGTGCTCTGGCCTGGCTGCCAGCCAGCATTTGAGATGGGGTCACTGGTCAAGCAGAGGAAGGGCGAGGCCAAGGAAGGTCATGGCACACCGAGCACACAGCTGAGTGTGGGTTTAGGAATGGAACAGGCCGGTGCGTGCACTAGGGCCTAGTCGGTCCTGGTGTGCGCTCTGCCACCCAGGGAGCAGTGGGTATGGATGGCGCATCCCATGCCTTGTAAGCAGACACAGTGAAGATGAGGATGGACAGACTGAGCACTGATGGTGAATCACTGAGTGACCTGATAGCAGTCTCTGGGCAGACTCTACCTGTGGGAAGTGAAGATAGAATTTCTGCTTTTGCTTCAGAAGCATTTACCATCCTCATCCTGTGAAAAGTCATCTGCAAGGAGCCTGCATTGGGAATTCTGTGAAGCAGAGTCAGAGCCAGCACTCTCCTGGCAGGATCCCTGAAATGTCCATTCGGATGTGATCGGGACTTTGTGTTGCACTGAACACTTTCTTATGCCTCCTGTGTGACTGCCTTTTGCTTAGTTTTTTTTATTGGTATGTGATCACAGTACATAACAATTATATTCATCAGAGATAGTTGGTGGATCTGCTTGATAGACTTTTCCTCCTTGTGGTAGAAAAACAAGAGTAAAGAAAGGAAAGAACAAAAAGGCCTTTATTGCTGGCATGGGAGGGCTGCAGGGGGTGCAAGATCCCTTCAGGGCAGACAAAGAAACCTGGAGCTTTTATTCAGTTTGAGGGGGGTGGAGTTCGAAGGGGTGGGCAGAGTGACATTTTGACAGTTGTTTGAGGGATTGCTGATGTGTGCACAAGTGGGAAGTTCACTTTTTGGGTTTGCAAGAAGAACGTGGAAGTCAGTTTTAAAGTGAGGTACAGTCCAGTGCTATGTTGGGCAGGCACCATGCTGAGCCTGGCAGTGCTCCACAGGAGCGGAATCCATTATTCCCATCTTTTGGGTGTTAGAGGCAGCCACTCTTAAACTGCTTCCTGCTGACTGGGGTGACATGATGGGCATTGAAGTAGTCATTGTGATGACAGGTTGGACCCATGTAGAATCTGTACCAGGGGTTCCCTTAGGACAAGGAATTACCTTGTTACAAAGGCCCACAACCTGGATTGAAGAAATCTTGAGAAAAGTTTAAACAGACCAAGGAGCTATAATCAAAAAATAACAAGTAGTATGAGAGGTCCTTCCAGGGGAAGAAGCTAGGAGGAAAGTGTTCCCTTTTCTATAAGAACAGGAGTCAGACTTTTTTGCAGATATTATCGTAATGTATTTTTAATTGCCCATAACAGTTGTTAATTACTGGGATAATTGGTAACTGCCTGAAGAGGTTAAACTTGGAGCCCTTTTTATATTTAACTTATACACATTTTTATATCCTTTGATTATATTTTATACTGGATGTTTAAGACCAAGTTAAATTGAGACCTGTGTTAATTAAAACTAACCTCTTGCTATCTATCAAGGTCAGGTAAGTCTCCTCAGGATTTGTCTTGGAACCATGTGTGGAGCCTCTTTGTTCTTGACAGTGTCTGCCATCAGGATGGTCAAGCAATGAGCCATTGCTTGATCAAGTTGGTTTCTGTGAAAGCTTGGGGGAGTTTCCTCCTGGTGACTCTCCTTAGGCACACTATATATTGTGTCACACTTGTTTGTAGTCCCATAATCTCCTTGATCACAAGACCCATGGAGATAAGGAATGTCACTGCAGAGGTTCTCTTATATCCTGGATCTTCAGTGACCTCAGAGGGCTGCAACCAAAATATTGGTTGTCTCCCAGCCCACTCATCTTTTTAATTTTTGGTCTGCAAATATCTATTGTTGAACATCCAGAAGTAAGGATTGGTAATATTATAGTGTAATAAGGCAGCATGTTTAGCATTATTACCTTATCTGAATATCAAGCAGCTTGAACATAAAATAGCAACCAATATTTCTATCAATCATCCATGTCCTAATACTTAAACCCATGGAAAATGTTAACAGTTACATAGTTTTCACAGAAAATTTGAAATAAAACCTATACATAATATATGCCATGCTACAGCATGACAATTATGACACTTTGTGTCAATCTGAATTTGCATTTTGACCTAAGATACCCCTTTTAGTCGATCATCCCTATCTAGCACATAACCTTTCACCTGACTGGTTTATCTTTAGTAGAATGTGCATGGAGTAAGTTTTTGTTACAGGCAGAGGTCTGAATCTGAAACAATTTTGTTAAACAACCTCTGTTTTACATTTTTGGAAGGAAGACCTGTACAAGTGGAAGCATGAATACATTAATACACTGTAAGGTTAATAACAATCTATCGTTTCATGTGAAACCTTTGTATGAGAGCATATTTAAATGAAAAAAATTATTGTATGAATTCTTTTGACAATGACCGATGTGAACATAATACAATAATGTGTTTTTGAATTTTAGTTGGGATGTCTCCCATAAGCCTATGGATATCATTGGAGCCTCTGATTCAATGAACAAGAACTGGTAAAATGTTGCCAAGTAGCCACTTTCTGAGTCATCGACTCCACAGCAGTCCTATCCGATAATGCCTCTCACCCTATAGGATTTTAATTGTCTTAATAATTTCTTAGCGACTTATGAAAAATCCATACACCACATTTAGCATACTGTTTTTAAACAATGAGAGACTGTTGCATCACGAAACATAAATGACAGTATTATCAAATTTACATAACCAATTATAGCATCATTTTGATGACCAGACAACTCAGGTGGAAGCAGGGTTTTAGACATATAACCCATATTAAATTTT